TTGTATGATTACTGTTTTCCTGTATTATGTGCCTACTTGATCCAGATTGTTTATATGTCGACATATAGTAGTAGTGGGTTGAGGCGGTCCTGCTTTGTATTGTAGGCCAAGATAACCAGTGCGGGCCGACTATAAGCTGTAGGCACAGAGGCTCGGGAAGAGTATTTGAGTTGAGGCGATAGTCCAACAAACTGTAACACTGCATTTTAGGTTTTTCCCTTTAAGCTCTTAGTTGTACATTCCTTTCATTTTGGTCCCTACCCGAGTAAGTTGGCCATAATCTATGAGTACGTTGGGCGTACTGACTCCTTGGTTGGACGCGGAGGCACCAACGTAAGTTGGGCGTACATGGGAGTATGTTGGGCATACGCTCATTAGGGGAAAACCCTAATTTTTAGGGTTTGTGCCCTATTTAAACAACTTATGTTGCTTTGGGGGTCTCATATGATCAACCTCCATCTCTAAGATTGTAGTTTTAGCTGTTTTATTCGTTTGAGATTTTCCACAACTGGAAGTAAGATACCATTTGGTATCTTGTAATAGTTGTAATGACACTATAAACTATTCAAAATATGAATTAAAGCTCAATAGGTCAAATTACAAAGAGGTTTGTGGTGAACTAACTGTCTATAGATTTAGACCTAAATTTTTGGATGTCATATATATATATGTATATATATATATATATATATATATATATATATGTATATATATATATATATATATATATATTCATATATATTAATAAATCTTTATATATATATATATATATATATATCATATGTTACTCTTTTGGCATTCTACTTTGAGATTATGTGATTTTCACCACCATATGACCACCATAAGGCTACCATGGCACCACCATTTATGTGAGGGATATTAATGACTTATTTATAGACCTGTGGTTGTTTTTCTAATCATGACTTAATAGTTTATGATGCAACTTAAGGGGTTAAGCTCTAAACTCTAAAGTTATGGTTTTATTTGAAATGACCTAATCTGTCCCTTTCTTGTAAGCATTCAATAAAAATCATTGGGATTCGGAAATAGGATCTGTAAACATTAAAAGTTCAAAAATTGTGTCTGTTTGGTCCCTGATTTTTTCCCTTACATGATATTGTTCCTAACTATGATAAACATGGTCATTTTTTCAGACTGGTCCAAAATGAGCTGCAATGATATGCAGTTTTGTGAAATTCATTATAAATTGTAGAAAAATTGTATGGCCATGTGTAAGTAGTCTCTAAAAATGTATTGAGCTGAACTTCATGAATAAGATTTTGTAATCTGGTTTGGATTGGTTTAATGGGGGCAAAACAGGTCTTCAGTAGGCTACTGTTTTGGGTTAAAATCTAGAAATCTAACTATAAGTTTAGGGTGAAAAGGTAGCCATTTCTAACCTTTATTACTATTCTTAGAGTATTGAAGAGTGACCTGGTGTGAGTGGGTCCCGGGCTACGTTTGGAGGTTGACATTGCTACTTGAGGTGATTTTCTGACTACACAGTGTGATATTAAGCGTTCTTTATGTTATCTCGTGTGTGGTATATGTTGAATATACGAGTAGCAGTAGGCGGGGTTAGAGTCTAGTGTGAGTATGGTATTCACTCACGTGTTGAGGAGTATACATGGAAGGACTCAGTGTATCCCAGTTTGGGATCAGGCGTAGCCAATGTTTCCCAAAGGCTTGACGAACTGAGCAAAGGGGATCGTGCGTAGCCAATATGTCCCAATGGGTTCGGGTATGGGAATCGGGCTTAGCCAATGTGTCACTAGGGCTTTATGTACCGAGAAAGGGGGATCGTGCCTAGCCAATGTGTCCCAGTAGCAGTATGTTTTTTCTGATTCGTTCTTCGACATGCATATGTGGTTATGTAGTTGATATCGTTCGTATCTTTGTATATCGGTAAAGATTGTATGATATGATACTGTGTATGTATGAAATTCACTATCTTTGTGCTTATCCTTTTCCCTTAAAAATATTGTTTTAGGTATATAGGATGGCAGGGCTCGAGGTGGATATTTGGAATTTTGAATTTGGATTGGTTTATGATTACTTGACTTTTTGAATTATAACTATTAATGGTTTTTGAAATTGAATTGATCTTGAGGTTTAGCCTAAATCTTACTTTTAATAAAGATATTGATTGGTTGATTTATGGTAATTTAAAAAGTTCAAATTTATTGGAAATTTTGGGATGTTACATATTTATATATTTGAATATATATATATATATATATATATATATATATATATATATATATATATATATATATATATATGCGACATATATATATATATATATATATATATGAATAAGTATACACTTATTCATATACAAATATATGTCTTCATATATGAATATGATCTGTTTCGTTCTCCCGTATGTTGGAGCACTGAAGCGACATATTCGAAATTAATAGCCCAGATACATTCCGTCATCCTCAAACTTTTTTCTCAATTGAACATTCTTCTCTCTCTCTCTCTCTCTCTCTCTATATATATATATATATATATATATATATATATATATATATATGTGTGTGTGTGTGTGTGTGTGTATTATCAATTTCAACAGTGAACACCATTTTAGGAAGCAAGCCAACAAATTGAGCTGAGCTGTTGTAAAATCGTACCTTGAATCGATAGCTTTTTCGATGAATTTCTTTCGTTTCTCGCAATTAAAGGAAAGAACCAAAAAGCTAATTACTAAATGATTGTTCGATTATAGAGATTGAAAACTTATTAATTTGAAGTAAAATTTTATAAAAAAATATTATGAATTTGGTTGATGTATTGTTTTTTTCCTCTTTGTTTCACAGAAACCTTCAAAATCAGGATCCTTTACATGATTAAATGAATTATGTTGTTTTCATTTTCTAAAGAGTAAAAACCGATGCCAACAAAAGTAGTCGTAAAATTCTACGATTGAATGGGTATAGTAGATTCTGAAGATTTGGAAGGACACCCGAACAAACTTCATTCAATTGCTTCAATATCAATGTGTAAGCCAAAGAAATCAAATGGTGTATAATAATATCATTGAATGGGGAAAAAGATCCTTTTGTCATCTAATCAATCACATATTCTTTTGTGTATTCCTTGTTAGATTACACCACTTAAGATCATCTGAACAGATAATGGAAAAAGTATCATATCAAAATTGATTCAAGTAATAATTTCAAACACAAACTCACTATGCACTTATTATATCATAAGATACTTATATGATACTCATCAATAATATTTGATCTCAGAATCAGATAATGCAATGCAATATGGGCTAAAATAGAACTTTGAGTAAGATGTTTTTTCTCACCAGATAATGCAGGTGATTCGGCTTTGAATTTATGTATGTTGGCGTGAGATAAGTGATCTTATCACAAGAATCTAGGCTAAAATAGAACTTTGAAGAGCAATACTGTGTTGACGGAGTAGACATTTCTTTTGGTGGTGGACTTCATTTGGTCTCGTTTTGCCATGTCATCACTAATGACTACATGGAATTTACATTAGATGAGCACAAGCACAACTTGGCTGTATAGGTTAAAAATGCATTACAGAAGGTAACATTAATTAAATCATTGATTTTTATATGAGGGGCCAAAACATACAACTAATGGTCAGAAGGAATTTGCGCAAATTGCGTCTCAATGTCTCCTTGCTAGCTCAAAGGATCTCATTTTAATTACTTTCTTTAGTAATTTTTTTATTGCATATTTTCTTTAATTCCCTTTATAAATTTTAATTATTTGTTCATAAATTGACAATGGTTTAACCCCTTCAATCATTTGTCACATTTATTTAAAACTTCAATATAAATTCACCACCTATTTATTTATATTAAAAAAAAAATTACCTTGTAGTAAAAAATGTAATACAATACAAATTGTAAAAAGAAAATACGTAGATTTCATTAAACATAATCATTTGTCATTTAAAAGGTTAATATTGTTTCAAATAATTAATATTATACACAATATGTAAATATCTATTTTAATTACCTTTTAGCTTTTTTATTGTTCAATTTTTCATTAAAAATATAAATTGTAAAAAGAATAATCATGGACTGATTCCATGTTTCCAACATGTTGTTTACTGTTTGGCATAAGTTTTTAATTATGATATGCTTTTGTTACTTTAAGTGTTGAATCTTTGAAACCTAAAACAAAATTATGAATATTAATTAAGTGGTAACATTTTAATTCCCCAATTATACAGTTTTAATATTAAAAAATAATGAAATATCTGGATATTTATTTATAATAAAGGAAAGGAAGTTTTTAATTGGTTTTTGATTTCTTGAAGTATGTTACTATACAAATTCACACCTTGATGATTTTTGGTTTCCTAATCTTATTCTATGCATTTGATTTTTTTTTCTTTTGAGTTGGTAGATTATTCAGCCAATTGTTGACCCCTGGATTTCTTTCAAATGCTAAGAATATCCACAATCCTCAATCCAGTTGTAGGGCCAATGTCTATCCTCAATATGCTCTCATTCACCCCTGGATTTCTTTCAAATCTCTGGGAATCACTCGAAAACTCCTTCTTCCCTAAATCAAAATCCACCCCTGATGCTAACTTTAACATTACTGAAGATTCAAGAGATAGAAATAGAATCTCCAAGAAAAAGAAAAAAGGATTATCTAAAAATGGAAGCACTAAATGGGCCAATGTATTAAACAAAATCACTGGAAAATCCCATGGAGATATTGACAATACAGAGTCTGTTAACAACATTGCTACTCAAATTGATGACTCTTCTGATGAAGTCATGAAGCTATGCTATTTCTAATCGTTCAAAACTGATTACTTCAAATTACAAATGAAAAAAGAATGATATCACCCATCTGACAACAATCAACTTCATGCAGTTCTAATTGCAACCTTTATCATAATAATCACAATTAGAAGAATCTTATGATGTCTTTAAAAAGGTATTGCAATCTTACAACTTTATAAAATCAACAAGTTTTTTTATGTTAAACTAATTAGATGGGGTAAATAAAGAAGAAATGTAAAGTAGTAAAAACTTGAAACAACTTGTTCTGTCCTGTCTTGTTGACCTAAATATATAGTAGTTGACTGGAAATGCTTGTTTCAAGTTATTTTATGACATAAAAATGTAATAATATATTCTTGACATTTTTGATGTGCAATCAGTTTCATCAGATGATGATGTAATAGACTATTCTGTGAAGCCTGAGTTATATGATCCAAATCTTGATGATAAAGACTAACTCTGGATTCAAAAGAAAAGAAAAGGTCAATATTCTGATGCAGTTCTCACATGTCCTGCCTGTTTCACAACCCTATGCCTCGAGTCTCAAAGGTATTTTCATGCCCCTGTTTCCTTTTCATGTAAGGGTAAAATGGTCATTTAGTCTCTCATTCAGACGCTTTATTCATTCAGTCTAGAAAAAAAAGAAACAACCTATAAATTGGTACAATAGTGAAAGTACAAGTATTATGTCTCTGCTCTAAAAAGCTTGCTTTTTATTTTCTGTTGAGTCTTGAATCAAATTAGAAGCTTCTGTTGTATCTTGAAATACTGAAAGTGGGGTTTGTTGTTTTGTTACTTATTAGGCATGAAAAATATGTGACCCAATATCGAGCAATGTTTGTGTTAAATTGCAAGATCAAGAAAGGACAACAAGTATCATCCTCATCATCAGATAAAGGAAGTTTAAAAAGAAAAAGAGTTAGAAAAGGTTTAGCAGTTGATGGTGAGTCCATGCTAAAGGTAAGTTCCTTTGGAAGTGTTTTTGGATCTATCACTAAAGAATGATATCGAACCACCTATACATGTAAACACATTTTGTTTTAATCTTTTTATTTTAGTTATTGTTTCTATTTTAGTGTATTTAATATTAAACTCACCTTAAAACCAGACTTTTTTCCAGAAGGAAATATCATGGAACAGTTTGCAGCCATTATGCTGTATTTCACTACACAAGAGAAGTGGAGTTAATGATATATATGTATATGTATATGTATATGTATATGTATAGTATAATTATAGCCATGTTGTTAGAGTTTTAATACCTTAAACGTCCATGAACAGGTTCAAAGGCATGCACAACATTAGCACCATGCACATAGCCTAAAGCCTATGGAAGCATTGAACTTTTTAGTATTATTAAAAATAATTAAATATAAAATAAAAGTTACAACAATGAAAAAGGTCATATAGGTCTGAATTAGATGTGGGATCCTCCTAAGTTCTAAAATGTGACAGATTAAAATTTCCTCAAATTTCAATTCCCTCATATGACAGATTCCATTTCTTCTAAATTCTTTAGTTGTTGGGTGTTTAAAGAGAATTAGAAATGTTAATTAATGAAATCGAGAATTTTATGTCAACCAAATGATAGCTGGAACAAGGTTTAGGGAACATGTTAAGACTTCATTATATATTAATACTACATATTGATGATGGATTTTTAGTAAAATGATCAACCAATACTCGTTTCAGTCTATTTTGTTCATTGACTTTGGAAAGGGGATTTAGGCGTACTTGTTGAGTATTTTATAAAGTGATATGTAATTAATATTGATGTTACATCTTACATATGCATCCTGATTACTAGACAATATTGATGACTATTGATAGAAAAAGAAAAGAATTTACAGAAATTGGGTAAGAAACAGAATATTTATTTTGATGACTATAATTCAAGAATGATGTAATCTCTTCTCCAATCTCTCTATATGCAGTCACACCGGTAACTGTTTTGCTGTGTAACTACCCATTAGCTACATGCTAACAACATCAGTTGACTTTTTTCACTCCAGCTTTGACTTCTGTTTGACCTCTTTGACTATTTTGTTTTTTTTTCTTCTACTATATCATATATGTCTATAGTAGAGTATTGTTGAAAACAACCAACATATTGAATTGTGGAATACTATACAAAGGATATATGGTATACTACTTCTAGTTTAAGAAGGACAATTGGGAATTGCTTAAAATTATGGCAAGAGTGTAGTAAGGGTTATTTCAGGTATTGTGTTATATATGTTTGAAAGTGAACATGCTTATTGTTTTGTCTTGACTTCATAGTTGTTGAATGAAAACTTGTGGTTGTAAAATGATTAGTTGTTGGGGTTTAAGCTAAATCAAGACAGAGAACTAACTTAGGAGAAAGTTGAGTTGAGATTTTGTTTAGTGACTTAATTTTTTCAATTTTGGGAATTTTTCGATTAAATTGGGTAATTGTGATTTAAACGAACTAAATAATGAGATTGCGAATATTGTATATATATGTTAAAACTATCGCATGATGTTAAATCAAGTAAAAACAAAACAACTAAATGAGAGCTGGAACAAGGATTTGATCAAATAGGAAACAGGGGAGGACTTGGTGATTTTCTGATAGTTTCAGTTGTTTGGTGCATTTTATTGTCAACCAATAAAATGCAATCAAAGGTAGAAATTGCTAAGACTGATTATAATATATTACATATTGATTGATAGTTTCAGTCTCTTTCTACTTATGAAATATTTATGTGGTGTTGTTGCAGATGAAGTGAAGCAGTTTGCACAAGAGGTAAACTATTAGTATTTAGTAGAAACAAATACCAAATAAGGAGACTAACAAAGAGAACCTACAGCATGATGGTAAGATTCAACTACAGGTCTACAACAAAAACAGTTTTGTTAGGTTTGTTTATCTTTAATTGAATAAACTAACATAAATGATCAAACGGTGACAAAAATACTAAGGGCATAACAATTTGTGATATATAAAATGTGAATCGTCTTAATTATGTAATAGAAAAAATAAGTTAGGGTTTTGTTTACCAGAACTTAAGTGAAAAAAAGCTGAAATCGGATTCAATGATAAGGTCCACCAGCTACAGCAACAACTTCGATGATGGTGGCGGCGGCAAGAGACTCAGACGATGCTGGTTGTCGTTGGTGGGTTGCAGGTCGAACTGGCAGTAGGAGGGAGAAGTATGTTGCGTCGACGACTTTGGAGGAGCCGGAGGGCTTTGCTTCCGACGGAGATGGCGGAGGCGATGTCATTGGCGGAGGCAGTCGCCGGTTGGTTGCAGATCGGAGATGCTGGGAAGAGTTAGAAATCGCAGATCGGGGAAAGAGAAGAGGGAAAGCGAGACTAGGGCAACGCGTGTTCTTATTTTTAGCTCAGATAACATATTTACGAAAATGCCCCAAGTATTTAAAAAAAAAATCGAATTTCATTAACGGATTTCCGACGGAATTTCAATTTTGTTGATTTCTGTCGGTAAACCGTCGGTACACAGTAACGGATTACCGACCAATTTACTTCTGTCGCAAAAGTGTTGCAAAAGCGTCGCTAATCTCCTAATAATTCATTTGTCGGAAATTCGTTGCTTTTTCCGACGGATTTTTTCCGTCGCTATTGCTTTGTTTTCTAGTAGTGAGAGTATCATTGTGAAAGAGTGCACGTCACCTTTCTTATCATATCTACGGTGCTTGAAGACTTCATGAGCCATGTAACGATTTTTCATATTATTTCACAAAAAGATAAACTGAGTTTGAATATTATGTGATTAATTTTAATTAATAACAAATTATAAAATAGATAAACATACAACTTCGTGTCTCTAGTCATGTTGTAAACACCGTGAGAATTTTTTAGAAAAATTCTTTGTTTATAATAAATATTTTGGAAATATAAGGAATACTTTCACGGATTTGAAAAAAAAAATATTTTTATTTTATTTATTTTATTTATTTTTTTAAATTAATATACATAGTCATAATATATTTATTCTTATGTATATGCATATGCATATACGTATTCTTGGGCATATGCATATGTGTATGCATATACTTATTCATTAGTATATACATATACTTATGAATATGCACATGCATATACTTATTCTTAAGCACATGTCATATTATGCATATGCTTATTTTTATGAATATACATAAACATAATCATACGTATTTAATTGTCTTATGCATATACTTATTCTTATGCATATGCATAGGGTATATGCATATACTTATTCATACGCATGTACATATACTTATTCTTATACATATGCATATACTTGTTCTTTTGCATATGTCAAATTACACATATGCATATGCATATGTGTAGTGACTAAAGAACATGGTTTGGCATGTGGAATTAAAGATTGCACAATGAACATGGTGATTTGGGTGTTCAAGAGATGTATTGATTATGTATTGTGTTACAAAAAAGGACATAGATCTAGTCTACATAAATAACACACACTTACACACTCAACTTTTACACCTCTCAACCACACCTCTACAAGTGGACTAAACCCACCTTATATAGAGGTGTTTACATGTCTCTCTCTCACTCTCTATCACATGACAACAGGCTAATACACCACATGCAAGTGGGTTTTACAAAAGTCAAACATTACAAAGTCATTCATGGAAAACTTTGTACCCCAACAATATGAATATGCATATGTTATTTACTTATTCATATGCATACATATGCATATGCGTATACATAAGCATAATCATTTGTATTTAATTACCTTACGCATATACTTATTTTTATGCATATGCATATGTATATTCATATACTTATTCATATGTATATGCATATTTTTATTCATATGCATATGTATATGCTAATTCTTATTCATATAAAGGCATTAAAATGTTTTTTTTTAAATGTGCATGTGCATATACATATGTTTTTTTTAAATATGGATACAGACAAAAAAAATATGAATATTCATTAAAATATTATTTAAAAAAAATCTTTTTTAGTTATTAATTTCGAAATATCAGGAAAATTTTCATTGATTTCGAAAAAAAATATTTTATTTTTAATTTTTTTAATCATTATTATTTTTTTTTTCAAATCAGCAAAAATATTCCTTATTTTTAAAATTTAATATTCAAAAACAAATTTCAAGAAAATATATTTTTTTATGCTTATTCATATTTTTTTCTTAATGTGCATATTTTTCAATATATATATATATATATATATATATATAATATATATATATAATATATTCTAATAAATAAATATATTTTTTTCCAATTGTCAAACTCCCATTTATTTTACCACATTGTTATTTTAATTAACTTTTTTTCTCACATGACATTTTATGGTTTTTTTCTATTTTATTAAATTCCACATAATATTGATATGTAATAGTTATAACAAATGACATCAATTTCATAAATTTACACTTCACTTCTAATTTTAAAATTCTTAAGATAGTTTAATGATATAATTTATTACAATTCACCAATTGGTGCCTATGACATGGTCAAAATCAATTTTAACTTTGATTTTATGCTATATAGTCACAAGTTCCTAAACAATTAGTTTAACGACATAATTTATTATAAATTATATTGAGTTATAACATGTTCATTTTATTTTTATTTTTATATTTTAAGAGTTGTAAACTATCTTAATGATTTAGCATTAACATATTTTTTTTAATTTATTTTGCTTTTAAATTAACTTCATTGCTTTAATGGAAACCAACTATTAGCTTTAGATATACATGAAATAGAAACTTGTAAGATGTCGTTTTAAAAACTTTAATGTCCTATTTTTTGTTTTTAAAAAGGGATATTAAGTAAACTAACCATCATAAATGAGTCTTTTAAATAAAATAACAATTTTTTTCGGTTTCTGAAAAATGTTCACTTACTCTCGAATGTCCCATTTCGGAATTGATCTTCAAATTTCGGAGCTTTTTTTTTGTTTTTGCCAAAAAAATCCAAAGAAGTCTCTATGATTATGTTCGAAATATGCATTTCAAAGTGTTTAAAGTCATAGTTTTTCAATCTAATGTCTGATTTCATGCCTTAATATTGTATGTAGTTCAAATTTATTATATTTATTTTTAATTTTTTTTTAGATATAAGTAAAAAAATGAAATTTTTGCTACAAATTCCTAAACTTGTTTATCGGATTCCGATATTGTTCTTGAAATTCTAGAGTTTTTTAGAGAATCACCGGTCACTCGTGTGTAATTGTATTTTGCATTATCTAGAGTTAAAAGCAAAGATGGATTGAAAATATAAAATTTAGACAACAACAGTAAACTTATCAATACGCCATCTAATGTTGAACTACTTACTTATTAATCATTTATTTAAAATATGTCAATCGTTTTGTTTTATTAATATAGTCTGAAATACTTATTTATTCATCATTTCGGTCGTATTTATTTCGAAATTTTACTTTAAAAAAGTTTAATGTTTAACTCTTTATATTGAACTTTTTTTAATCAACTGTGTAATACATGGGTCAAATAATATATATATATATATATATATATATATATATATATATATATATATATATATTATATGTGTGTGTGTGTGTGTGTGTGGTGTGTGTGTGTGCGTGTGTAACGTCCGTAGATTCGGGCTAGTCAATTTAGAGACGATAAGTAAAAAAATGACTTTTTAATAGAAGATTATTTATAATGAGTAATCTTAACCAAGTCATAGTATATGTTACAAGGGTTCCGTACATATAAAGAACGCCGAAATCCGAGTTATAACGAAGAAGTTATGGCCCGTCGAAGTTTTACGGCAAAACCGGCACGACGCCGGAAGACGTAAATAGTGAATTTACGATAGAAGACTTTTTAGCCTTAGTAATCTAAACTAAAGTTGTAGTATACGTTAAACCGAGAACATGCAAAAAAAGAACGTCAAAATCTGACTTCGTATGAGGAAGCTATGATTTTTCTAAGATTTGGCATAGCAGTGCACAACCCGCAATTCGAATTTTAGATCGATCGGTTTTTGGCCAATGCAACCTAAATGAGAATTGAAGATCTCATTAATAGTAGCGCAACGGTAAAAAGACAGACGAAAACGGACGTCAGATGAAGAAGTTATGAATTTTTAACGGACTTTTCCTGTCCCGGCCTGTTAAAAATATAACTTTAAAAATAAAGTCAAAATTAGCCGACGGAGTCTAAATGAAAGTTGTAGAGTACGTCTCCACCTACGCGTGGATATAAAGAGCGTCAAAAAAGGAGTTCGTATGAACAAATCACAAATTATAATAGCATATTTACGTATTAAAATAAAATATAAATCATATATACGTACACATATATATACATATGTATATATCAATAGAAAGGTATCGACGATGCGGTCATTATAAGACTAGTGTTGAGTACTTTCGACATTAGTTTAGTACAAATATCATTAAATCTATTTAAAATAGTATTATAAAGGGGTGTTTACTCATTTATATAACTATAAGGTCATTAAGTAACTATTGAAGGTAGTTTTTGAAAATTCAATTACTATAAATAAGAGCCTTGGGCTCTCATATTTCTTGCACCATTCTCTTGATTCAAGAGTCTTTCTCTTCTTATCCCCCGAGCATTTCGGTCCCTCGTGATTCGACTTCTCTTTCTGTAGTTTTAGTATAGTAAGGTGAGCGCTGAAGCGCTGCACGAATCTTTCCTAGAAAGATTCAGCGACGAAGTTCTGCCCCTGCAGAGCCCGACTCCTACCTAAAACCCATTGTAAGTAAGTTGTGCCTACCCTATTTTAATATAGCTTATATTTAAAATTAGTATTGTTATTATGAACTTATAATAAATATTTGGGCTATTATTATGACTTATATAAGTGTCGTTATAATATCTTTTTAACTACTCGCGGTACGGGGAATCTGGTTTAAAGGGTCGCATAGGGTTGTTGGATTTCAGAAGTGTTATATGCCAAAATGGTTCTGCCCTCCGGTGGTTTATGTCTGGCCCTTGTCTGTACATAGTGCTTGGAAAATATTGTTTAAACGCTTATATAATAATAATAATAATAATAATAATAATAATAATAATAATAATAATAATAATAATAATAATAATAATAATTAGTCACGGTAAATATTAGACTAAAGCTAGTGGTAATAATACCAGGTTTCGTCGAAGGAAATTATTTTTAAGAAATGAAGCGCTGTCTGAGTTCGGAATCACCACCTTAACAAGTGAGTGCATAGTTACTTTCATCTTACACATAGATATGAAGTATTTAATATAAATTACGTG